AGAAATATCCAAACTGCCGTCGTTGTGCTGGGGAAGTCGAGACTATTGGTCACGCCTTCTTTCAGTGCAAGGCGGTAGTGCCGTTGTGCAAGTTTGTTGAAGGCCTCATGGTTCGCATGCTGCACGGAAAGTTCTTTGTCCTGGAAGCCAGTTCTGTCTGTAGCAATGTGGTGCCGCAGATGACAAAGGCTGAACACTATGTGTTCTGTTGCTTACTAGGGGTTATGAGAGTCGTGATTTGGACGACGCGTCAGAAGGGATTTCATGAGGGCGAGAAGTTCACTTCTTCCCAACTGATCTTGTTCTTTAAGCATCTGCTTAAAGTCAAGATCAGGACGGAAAGGCGGCGGCTCACCTCATCGGAATTCAGCAAAAGGTGGGTGAATCTTGCGCGAATGTGCCGAGTAAAAGGGGCTGACCTTGAGTGGCATTTGGATGTCGGTTAGGCATTAAGGATATTGTTTTCCTGGGTTAAACCTAGGCAACCCGTTCCGGAGTTAGGTTAGAGTAGGTTTTTGCATTTTTTCTTTTAGTTTTTTCTATTCTTGTAAACTTAGCTAGAGTATGAAATTGCTCATTGGTCCCCTTTTATTTCTGTCCCCATTTTTTTTCCTTTAGTTTAACTCCCCATCCCCTCCCTCTTTCTTAGGTGGTTAGTGATGTCAGTTCTCTGGTTGATGCGGGGCGCCTTTTTCGTTTCGTGTGTGTGTTTTTCGTATTTGTTGTTGTGTATGAATGTGTGTGTGCCTGTGTGAATGCTTGGGAAGAATGAGTGTTTTTTTTTTTTTTCATAAGTCCCGCATCGTTTTTCGTCCGGTTAACTGATATTTCTGCCACATTCAAAAGTTTGTGGGGGGTTTTATTACTAACACTAATTTTATTTGGTTTCTTGTAAATATATTTTTGCCATTATGTATATATTCATTGGGGATCATTTTTAGAAGTTGTTGTTTTTTATGCCCCTCCCCCCACAGACAATATTTTGTACATATGGGGATTATTTAGGTTTTTTCATGGAGTCAAAGAGGTATTTTGGTGTCTGTGGTAAGAATGGTATGGATAAATGTGTTGTTTTGGTGAAAGGAATATTGTTCTGTATGATAGGGTCAGTGATTGTGGCTAGCTAAGTTTAATATAAGACAAGTGATGACCGCCCTTACCCCAATCCCCTTTTCGGCCTTGTGCCACATTTGTACATTTGTTCAATAAATATTCTCTCTCTGTTAAGTCATTCATCTAGGATAGTGATTCTCACCTCCTAGGCTGCGACACACTAGTGTGCCTGCAATATATATATATATATATATATATATATATATATATATATATATAAGCATTCAATCCCAAGCAAGGCGGGAAGCCACTAGAACGCAAGGGATTACAGAAAGTTGGGGCGAGAGCAAAGAGGAGTGATAGAGGAAAGGATGAAGAGACATTAGGGGATAAGTCAGGGCATCTGGAGACGTCGACTGACATTACATTTGAATAGTTGGAGATTATAGCTATCAGGAAAACAAACATGGGGAGGGAGTTCCACAGGCGAGAAGTGCGAGACATGAAGTTATTGGAGTAGAAGAGACAGCTATATTTAACAGTTTCGACAGTGAAAGGGTGAAAGCGAGATGCCAGCCTAGTTGAACGCTTAAGTTCATGAAGTCTGGGAACCAGCGAAAGCAGCTTATTGAAGCACTTACCATGAAAGTATTTGTAAAAAAAGACAGGGGGGGGGGGCAAGACACGTCTGTGAGAGAGCGGCTGCAGATGAGATGCCAGATCAGGGCCAATTACATTGCATATCCGTCTTTGGATTTTATCAAGGGCCTGGAGACAGATAGAAGGTGCTCCAGACCATATATGGCAGCAATACTCCATGCAAGGGCGAATTGTTGATTTGTAGATTTAAAGGATTGACGCGGCACAGGGAGCCGACTTTCCTCGCGGTGGACGAAGCTATTGAATCAATGTATTCGTTCCATCTCAGGTCAGAAGACAATGTGAGACCGAGCAGTTGCAAAGAGGTACTCTCGTGGAGTTGAGCGTCAGACATTCTAATGGGAGGCAGGGATGGTTTTTTCTGGTGAGTAATTGTCAGAGCATGTGTGTGTGCGTGTGCGTGCGTGCGTGTGTGTGTGTGTGCGTGCGTGCTCTCACGAGTAGTAATGGTACAGCATTATTGTTTGAATAAATGAATAAGTAATAAACTTTATTTTCGCTGTCCACCCAATTCCGTTTTTTGATATATTTCTTTTGTCATACTTGGAAATCTCTTCTATAAAACACAATTTATATATTTAGCAGTTATGGAACATCATCTCCCGATCTTAATGAGATATCTCGTTGTTATGGTGAGAGGTATATTTACTCGGCCTCCCCATCCAGGCTAGATGTAACACAAGGTCGTTTTAACGCGAGGAGAACCATACACATACTTATGTATATAAGTACAAAAATTGATTTTTGCGCAGCCTCAATGATCACTGTCAAGCTGGCATTGGTATTACACTAACCCTACCTCTTTAGTGAGATAGGGAAGGTGCTGCTGCAGGTTTGAGATCCCCGGGGGTCACCAAGCTCTCCCATTTAAAATGAGGAGAATCATATCTCCACTTACAGCACAGGGAGCGTTAACCACGCCTCAGTGAACCCTCATTGGCTAATAAGTAATTCCTGTACTAGGTAAGTACTTAGCAGTCACAGGACATAGTGAAGGGAAGGGGAACATACGAAAGCAGAGAATAAACAACCTAACAGTGACTAGGATGGATTAGCAAACAGACCAACATCACCAAGAAATAGTAAATCTGATCGGTTCGATAAGGTCAAAATGACAGCTGATCCCAAAAGTGTCCATAAATTTACTGTTAACTGGGGCAAGGAATGGCGTGTTAATTTTAACGCCTGCAAAACTAAACTGCTCTCTGTTAATCATATGAGACACCTCTTTTTGCCTTCCATCAGTATGGCTGATGCTAACCTCCAGGAGAGTGAATCGTTGCGCTTTCTTGGGCTAACATTCTTGGCTGACGTGAACTAGAAAGACGATATTGGATTCATAGCTAGGTCAGCTGCTAAGAAAGTTGGTTCACTGTGCCGGACTCTCTCCAGAATCTGTTTTATATATTTATAAGTTGACCGTTTTTTCAGGCTTCGAATATTACCGCCACATCTGTTCTGGTGCTTTTGTTTTATATTTAGAGATTCTTGGTAAAATCTAAAGAAGAATCTGCAATATTATTGGTCCTGACCTGGCATCCCATCTTCAATCACTTTCCCTCCTCCGTGGCCTTTTCTATAAATACTTTCACCGTAATTGTTCTGATGAACTTTCTTCTGATACCTAGACTTTATGAATTTAAGCGTAGTACTAGATTGGCAACAAGGTCTCATCATTTTATAGTTAAATTGGTTAAATGTAACAGCAAGTTCTTTGCTAACAGTTTTTTTCTAGTACTTTTCCCTATAAATTGCACCTTTTACTCATTAACCATCTACCTCGAGTGGCTCTTGCGCCTTGTACAGGGTGAACATCACTGTAAAAAATACAAATATGACATCTCACATTTCAGCCCGGACCTCAGTACTTGACCTGTATTTGAGTTGGAAAACTATTTTCTCGTTGAACAATTAAATGAAAAAAGAAATCATTTGTTAAGCATTTAAATAAACATTCACATCACCAACACAAAATTTATGCAAATAACATGTTTAGCAAGTGCTTTTTTTTGTCATAGATATTTAAAAAAATACTCTCATGGTTATTTCCCTTGTTTTAGCAATGAAACCCGGTGCTGAATTGAAGTGTCCTCTTTGGCCTACCGTACTTTTCCCGACCACTTGAACCATACTAACAAGTGCCAGAAATCGAGAGCATTAATAACAAAAAATGAGTGGGATAAAAATAAAAAAGCAACACTTATTTCGATTAAATGCGTTACTTAGAACGATTACTTTGTTACTTATGTAAATGTAAAACCGTTCACTCTTACTTGGCAATAAAAGTGACAGATGGCTAGGCTATATAGAACGGCACTGTTGATTATTTACAGCGAATTTGTTTAACTAAGACACTGTTGTTTGCATCATGCGGTAATAATTGTAAGTGAAATGATACACTAAAATAAGTAACCGAGTAATCATTTTAAGTTGCCTGAATATCGGTGCCAACAAGAAATATTCCTCGTCCTACTTTGCGTTCTTTACAGCGTAGGTCTTCTTGGCTCATCTAGTAAAGCCGTTTGTTTGTTTTTTTTTATTAATTATTTCAAGTCTTCAGCTTAAATACGGCCAACTCTGATATGGTGTTCAGCATTTAGTAGTTCATATCCACCACCCACGATATACGGTTGGCATTAAGATAAACGTTTTCTCGTAAAAAGCAAAACTTCATTTCATTTATGATCTTTCACTTGCATTCAGTTAAAAAAAATTCAAAAATATAATTTACAATACTCCAATAAATGTTGTGAATAACAATGAAATATTGTAAACATTATAACTAATTTTATTTTTGTAAACTCGTTTAGTTTGACTCAACAGGTTACAAGAAATTTTTAAAAACCATATTTCGGGACCTTAAGGAATATCTTGTCTTCCATATTTACTAAATGACAACTGTTATTTCCAGCCATTTTTGTCACAGAGGGACATATAGCAGCCACCGTCAACACGAGATTATACGAGACTTTCTAATTCGCATTATAAAACCACATTGCCATATTTAAAACTATAAAGCTAGATAAATATTTTAACATTATTTTTTTTAGTTTTAACCATTTAATTCATCATGTTTTGTTAGTATTAGAAATTCTAAATAGGATTAATCTTATAAAATTTACTTCTAAGTTTTCAGCTTACATTTAGGTCTCTCATTCCTTCCCTGTTTATTTATCTGTCTATCGACGTGGCGTACTCAGTCTTTGATTTTAGTCTATCTTTCTCGTTCTCTCGGTGAACGTGACTTGCGCTCTGGACAAATAAGCAGCTAATCGCCAACGAGGGAAATGACGTCATTTTCCAATTATCACCGCCATTTTTCACCTTACATGGCGCAGGACGGACTGTACGCTGGCAGAGTTATGGAGAATCAAGAAGCGATTCTAGATGCCCTGACTGGTTAGTTATGTTCTTTTATTTTGTTTTTAGAAGATTAGCTGACGATTAAACTCTTGATTCTATTTTCCACTGAAAATTAATCTTTCTTCGTCTATACCATCTTTGTTTTTTTTTTTACCTCTTTTTTTTTTTTTTTTTTTTTTAAATGCCTTCCAGACTTCGAACGAAAGGCCAACAAGGAAATCCCTCCGATACTGGACCAGTACCTTCTCCAAGTGGCCAGAACAGGAGAAACCTTGTAAGTTTTTACTTCTTTTTAGTATTTATTTGGTCAGTCTGAATCTTGATGGGTTTTAATTCCTATCGGAGGCAACTATAAACATGTGATAGCCAAGGTTTTTTTTATTTGTGTTTGTAAATTCTGCTTCTGAATCTTCCTCAAAGAAACGTTTTTAAAGTTTCATTATTAAAATCTACATTTTTCTAGTATTTTTCTTTTCATTTCTCGTATTTTTTTAAGATCTAAGAATATCCTGACTTTTTCTTTTTTAAGGTCGACTTTGTTTTTCAAGTTTGAATCTTACATGAAATTGTAGAAACGTTAAATAATATTTTTAAAAAAATCATCAAATGTCGTGTTTTCGCTTTTAATATTCTCGACTTTATTTTAAAAAAAAATTAAGTAATAATTCTTAATCTAAAAAAAAAAATTTTAATTAATTAAACTGATTTTCTTTTCTTATTTTTTTTTTTTAAACACTGAAAAATTTTATTGTCAAAATAAATAAAATTTTTTTTTTTTTTTTTTATAACATTACGATTTTTTAAAATTTATTTTCTTTATTTTTAAGGGAATTTATCAAATAAATTTTAAGGTAATTGTTTATAATTTCGGAGTATCTGGGACCCTTAAATAAACAATAAATAATAATCCTTGGATTCTTATCTTTAAGATCTGTGAAATTAAAACGAAACATCTTTTTATCATCTTTTTATTATTTAAAGTTTTATAAATTAAGGGAGACAACTTTTCTATTTTCAATCGATTTTTGTAAATATTTTTTTTTTTTTTTAAATTTCTTTTAGTTTACATTTTCATTTTTTTTTTTTCTATTATGGAAAATATAGGATATTCATTTTTTTTTTTTTTTTTTTTTTTTTTTAAATTATAACCCGAAATAAATGTCACTCCGAACATAATGTTTCAACAGTCATCTCTTTGTTTTTATTATTCCATGCTGTTTCAAAAATTTTAAATTTTAAATTTATAAAAACATTCACTCCTGTATAGGAAGTTTTTATTTTTTTTTATTTTTTTTTTTTTATTTTTCGAAGCCTCGAATATTTTTTTGTTTAAATGTAAAAATTTTCAATTTTTTAGCTCAACCTCCTGGGTTAACTTGCGTAGCGTATATGATGTATGTAACAATTGATTTCTTACTTTTAAGGATATCTTTTTAAAAGATTGTGAAAAAAAAAAAAAAAATTATTTCCGTTCTAGATTTTTTTTATTGTTTACGTTTTTTTTTTTTTTTTTTTTTTTTTTTTTTCTTCTTCTTCTTTAATTCTGCACGTAGGATTTTAAAAATCTAGTAGTCGCGATTTATATTGACTCAATTCTACATCTTGGATTTTTTTTTTTTTTTCGCATACAAACTTAAATTATTTTGTATTTTTATTTTATTTATTTTTAATAAGACAAAAAGCAGATTTTTTTTCTATATTAAATATCATATATCCATACATTCCAGTTCGTAATTAATCAGCTTCGTTGTTCGTATTATATTGACCGTTACAGTTTCGTTTCATTTTGGATCCAAATTTTAAATTTACCTTAAAACAGCCAAAAAACAAAAAAATGTTTTTTTCCCATTCATCTGGGAATTTTTTTTTATTTTTTTACCACCTACATCTCTTCAATAAATCTCTGCCTTTTTGATCTTATGTAATCTTTCGTTATTACTAAAAATCAGGTCGTTGGATTAATTATATAAATAAACCTTATTTTATTTTTAATTCACCCAGTGACCTGATTTTTCTGTCTTTCACGTCGTTGTTTTATTTTTATTTCCAATCCTTAAAAGTAACAATTTCTCAGGTTTGTTAATAATTTAACTTGGTCTTATTTCGAAATTGTAAGAGTGCACAGGTAGTTCTGAGTAAAACGAGGGCATCTTCAGTAACTAAAATAAAATTATGTATGACCCATGTAGATGCTTCTTACATGCTCTAATAAATTCTGTTTCTATTTTGGTAAAATACAAAATCTTATTTCCTTCTGAAATCTTATTCGGCCAATATTTGAAGACTTCATAAAAACTAAAAATGTTATTGTTGAACTTGAGACCGCTGTTCAACAAATTATTTCGAAATTTTCATTTATTTATAACTTTTTTTTGTTTTGTCTTTTAAATTCTATGAAAAACTGACGTGATCCCCCCCCCAACCTATAGCGAGAAAAATCTTTCCGATATGAGAAAGGAAAATAATGTTCTACTACTTTTTTTTTCTTTTCACATTCGTGTACAAACGTGTTTGGTGCCACACGTCCTTTTATTCTTTCTAACACTAGCAGTTTTCTTTTCTTGTAGTTTTAGTTATTAATAACTAGCTATTTATTTGTAACTGAATATTTCTGCATTCTCTATAAATAATATTTGATCCCACAGTCAGCAAAGATACTGTTCAACATTTTTGCCACAAATAATTTTCTTAATATCTCTTTCAAAGCATATGAAGTTGACAATCGTTTTATTCAGCTTCAAAAGTTATATTTGGAAATCATTGACCAGAAAAATATAAAACATTTAATAAATTCATTAATGTATTAAGAGAAACAAACTTAAAAAAGTTTCTTTTTAAAAAAACAAAAACCCAAAATACATACAATTGTTATATAAACATTTTTTGCACAATGAATTGTCTTTAGTTATTTACACTATTTATATTCGAACTATTGTCCTTCTTTGTTTTATCACAGTTTCGGGTGTATACTGTATCGAATTGGGTAACTTACAGGAAACTGAACCCTTTTTTTTATTTAATCTACAGGAGTAGACTGTTCTCATTCCACTGCTCTTTCTTAAGGATTTATTTCTTTAATATATATCTATCATCTAGTTTTTTATTTTTTGCTAAGTGTTGTTCAGCTATTACAAGGCCATCTCCACTGAGGATTGAACTCACAACCACTGTCACCAGATTCACAAATCAATGCTTCTACTTACTAGTTCTGTATTTACTAAAATCACAAAAGTTGACAAAGATTCGGACAATAGTCTGAATATAAATAGTGTAAATAACTCATGCCAACCATGTTAGTTGTCTTTTGGTAAAGCACTTTAGTCACGATCTAATAGTTCTTGTTTAAGATATGTTTATTGGTTTTGAATTCAGAATTATTCTAGAATGGCTACCACTCAAGGCTAGAGAACCCAGTCTGTTCTGCTATTTAACCCATAATGATATTTGTAAGTGAATGTAATGAAATCTACGGAATTTGCTCTGATTTCTCATCACACCACCTGCACATTCTTTTTATTGTTCACATAAAATCTGTGACACACATACATAATTTAATTCTAAAAATGACCATATGAAAACTTTATGGGATTGGAAGTGTTTTTTTTTTTTTTTTTTTTTTTTTAGTTTAATTTTACAGGTGTTATAACTGCAGGTTGGCATCTATAAATCGCAGTAGTTGGGGTTCAAAACTTCTATCTGCACTTTAGATCAAAAGTAAGCTGTGATGTCAGGATTGCCAGCTACCAAAACAAAGATGTTAAGTCCATGTAGTTAATGTATAACACAGTGGTTAGGCATACAAAATGCATATTCAGTACTAAGTGTTGAATATTGGCAGTTTTGAAAAACAATTAAAACTATTCTTTAATTTAACATAAAAATCTGTACGAATGTGAATAAATTTGAAAGACGAAAGCTTAAAATGATTCCAATTATAAATCACCATGTCAATAGATCCATCATTGATGACAGCAAAAGATAGCAGAAATCTTGTATGCACAAGATTTCAACAAGAAAAAAATAAAATTAATTTTCTTTTATAGTTTTATTAAAATTTTGAATAAAAACATTACAATACATTGTATTGTATTAATAAAAATAATTTTCCTCTTCAAACCTGCTTCATCTAGCTCCTCTAAAAAAAAAAAAAAAAGCTTTGTAGCTTTTCTTCATTTTTGATCCAACTCTCAATGTAGATTTTGGTATGTTCATCTCTTTGCTGTGCTGTTTTTTTAATAATATTTAGCTTTTTTTTTTTTTTTTTTTTTTTTTTTTTTTTAAGGTTAGGGTAAAAATTGTAATTTGCATATTTCGCACTTGAAATGTCCGAAGTTCTAATCCATGTCACTACACAATTGTGAATGTAAAATGCCAAAAACCTAAACAATAGCAAATACCTGGTAAAATATGGATATACTGAAAGTATTAAAACTTTATTTAATGAATTAAAATAGAAGATTATACAGAAAAAATCAGACTTTAAAAAGTGTCATAGTCAAGTTTGAATTAGTTTCAAATTGGGATCCACTGATTATCATGATTCTAATATGAACATGACAAAAAATTTTGGGGTCCATCGCACATGTATAGCTTAAACAACATCATGGTTTATTGGTGCATGACTTAATGTCACTGACCTGTACTTTGTGATGTTTGGGCTTGTTGCTTTTTTGTTAGGTTTAGAAATATGATCAAACCTCTCTCTCTTTAATCAGTTATGTATTCTGATAGGACCAGTGTGTAGGTTTTACATAGCTTCCCCCCATGACAACTCATAATTATTAAATATCATTGCCTGTATTTAACTTGAATGGCTGGACACACAAGTCTTTGTTTCTTCTCAGCATAATCAAATATTTTAAATCTGAAATATTTAAGCTCTTGGCATTTCAACTGCAATAAGTTTGACTTCTTTACAATTCTTTCATATTTATTGGCATTAAGTTTTTACCAATTGGGACAGTCTTAGATTGATCTTTTTATTCAGAATCACATTGGCATTTTTTAATGTCCTTGGCCAATTTGAGAGTATGTTTTAAAAAAAAAAAAAACACCCTAATTATAGTACTGATAATGTTTAAGATAAATTCTTTATAATCAACTGAAGACTAGACTCTACCAGTTGATTAACCTTAAATAAAAATGATCACTCAAAGTAGTTATTTAATCATTTTTAATTTACAAGTCCCATTGCTTGAGTTGTAGCGAGATCTGAGTTTGTGATCAAATTCTATTTTTGCTTCTTTATCAATTAACACCCACCCCATCTCTCCT